CCCCAAAACCCCAAAACCCCTAGTAGATAGATAGATTTTATGAAAGAATGAATTGAGAGGCTTAAAATATTTTGAATGTAAATTATTGCTTATATCAAAAGAGAGAATATCTTATAAGAATTTAGAAAATCAGTAAAGGGTGTTTCTTGCCATCCATCCAGTAAGTTTGATTTTACCCTTGACAGAAGTGTCAGTGCCCTTTCTCACAAGGATTTTTCTTACTTCATCATAGAATACGATAACCATGAAGAAACTCATTGCTGGAATTCCAAAGTGAGGTGATGCAAGTTATCTGCCTCCAAGTCCGATTTCAAAGGGTTTAGCATAGCAGATAAGAAGTGCAATGCCGACTTCGAATATTATACCTTGCCACTGGACAGAGTTTACAAGTTATTACTGTGACAATGATAATGTTCTAGTTTTGCTAATCATGTTATTGGCGATCTGAGTGATTACAATTGCTACGAAATAGGCTGATGATACGTAGATCACAGCTTCTGGAGTGTAGCAAAGTTATTTCTCAGTGACATTAGAGTATCTCCAGAATCTTGGTACACTTTCATCATTTGGATTCCATCTGCATCTACCCCAGCTATCTTTGTTGTGGAATACAAAGAATAGACGAACATCAATTTGAGCATCATCATTTTATCCCCAAGCGATACTCCTGGCATAGTCGCCATTTCCATAATTAGTGTTACCAAAGTTTGGAAGGTTGGGATCATATAGATCAGTTGGATTAGGCTCATACCCCTCGGCTAAGTTAAGGAATAAGAGTGTATTTAATTTGAAGCCGAAATCATTCAGAATATAGAAATATGTAAACATGCCAGAGAAGGCTTAGACAATACCAGTCTGAACGTAGGAAAAGCTCATCAATTTCATCGGTACTAGTCTATCTCTCTTTGAATTTCTTGGAAGTCTTTCCATAATATCCAACTCAGCATTCTCATAAGCGAGGGCAATGGCTGGGTACATATCAGTACCAAGGCATATAACGATCATGAGAATAGATGAAAGAGGAGGTGGAACTTGAATAACAATATTACAAAGGACTGGGAATATCTCTGGAATGTTAGCTGAAAGGGCATAAGAGATAGATTTCTTGAGATTGTCGAACATTAATCTACCTTGTTCAACTCCCATAACAATCGAACTGAAGTCATCATTCAACAAGATAATATCTGCTGCATTCTTAGCAACATCACTTCCACTTCCCATAGCAACTCCAATGTCAGCTTTTTTAATAGCGGGCGAGTCATTTACACCATCACCAGTGACAGCAACAATGTGACCAGCTCTTTAACAAGCATCTACAATCAATAGCTTTTAAGAGGGAGTTGTTCTAGCAAATACAACTTCTGGCTTACTAATCCATTCAATCAAGAATCTACCTTTTTCGGGGTCGAGATCATCTAAACCCTCTTCCTCAGCGTGTTTTTCAGCAAGTAAATCTCCGTGGATGACAATAGCCTTTGATTGATCCATAGCTTAGTCATGTGAAAGACCCTTCTCTTGTCTTAGATAGTTATATTCCAAAGTTGGATCAGTAATAATGTTAACTTTATGTGCGATAGCAGCAGCTGTTGGTGGCTGATCTCCTGTCACCATAATAACTTTAATACCTGCTTATCTGCACTTTAGGACAGACATATCAACTCTAGGTCTGGGAGGATCATTCAAAGAAACTATACCTACAAGAGTCAAATTGAACATAGGGAACCAGCCTTAAATGAATGGATCTCTATCCTTAACTTATTGCCATTTCTTCCAGTTTTTAATATCGAATTGATACTTTGGATCCTTTTTATAGATTGATGGATCTAATTCCAATTTGGCAAAGGCCAACACTCTCTCACCCATTTTACCAAAAGAATCATTGGCAAACTTGACATGATCAGCATACTCATCAAAACTTCTTTCCTCACCATTAATTAGGATCTTATTGCATCTGTTGAGAATTCTTTCAGGAGCTCCCTTAAGGAATATGCATAGGTTATCTTCTTTTGATTTTGGTCGAGTCTGATCAGTGTTCATATCTCTGATAAACATGTTAAACTTGATTTCAGAGTTGAAAGGGATCAATGCATCAACGATATTTCCATCTTGTTCATAAGAATAAACTGGATAAGTTTGTCTTTCAGTTTCAATATCCTTAATTCCTTGAGCGAATTTAATGATTCCAGTCTCTGAGGCATCGCCAGTAACATTTCTCTTTTCAACTGGTAGGCTAAGTTCGGCTTGTAGCAGGTCTTGCTTAGCTTATTCCTTTTCTTCTTCAGTAATGTTAAATCTAGCATAGTCTCTAACCTTTTATCCCTTCTTTTTGGCAATATGAGCCTTTAGCTCCTCATTTGTGGGGTTGAAAGCAAAAGCAGCCTTGGAACCAAGTATCATACAGTCTAGTAAACTCTTAAAGGCAGGGTCCTTAATATCATAATCTAATTTGAGATCTGGATTTTTTCTGAATTTTTCATAGTTTATTGAGGCCTCGTGAATTTAGGCATTATAATAAAGATGGGAGACTGTCATTCTGTTTTGAGTCAAAGTACCAGTTTTATCTGAGCAAATACAAGAGGTTGAACCCAGTGTCTCAACTGATTAAAGATTCTTGACTAAAACAGATCTTGCAGCCATTCTTTTAGCAGCTAAAGCCATGCACACGGTAACAGTGATGTAAAGACCTTCAGGTACATTAGCAACAATGATACCAATCATAAAAATGATGTTAGTGATGATGTCATAACCAAAGGCAAAGTTAATTGCAAAGAAGATGAGACCCATAGAGATAGCAATAGATGCGATAATCTTAATGAATCTATCTATTTCGATAGAGATTGGTGTCTCACCAGCATCAGCAGTTTGTGCGAGGTTAGCAATTTAACCAATGACAGTTGAATCACCAGTTTTAAAAACTATGCCAATTCCACTTCCATTTGTGCATGCAGTACCAAAGAAAGCTACATTAGGGCTTTCAAAGATGTTTTTAGATTTCTCATCTGGCAATCTTAGCAGGTCCTCAGACTCTCCTGTAAGTGAGGCATTGTTCACTTTCATTTCATTAGCTTAGATCAGGACAACATCAGCAGGTACATTAGCACCAATTTAGATCTCGACAATATCTCCTGGCACCAACTCAGAAGCATTGACCTCTATTTTCTACCCGTTTCTAAAGACTGTTGATCTAGCAGGGATAAAGTTCTTGAACTATGCCATCATTGCAGCGGCTTTTGATTCTTAGAAATAAGACATTGTGGCAGTAATTAAGACGACACAAATAAGTACGATGCCAAGATACATATTCGATTTATCTCTTTTATCCTCCTGAACTCCGTAGGCGATGAAACACAAAATAGAACCAACCCAGAGCATATAGTTGAAAAGTCCAGTCATAAGTAGTAAGTACTAGACGAACCAAGGCATACCCGACTTTTCTGTAAGGGCATTAGGGCCGTGTTGCTTTAATTTATCTTGTGCTTAAGTTTAGGTTAAACCGAAATAACTTTTATCAGTTTCTTTAGCTTTTATACAAGTTTCCAATTACTATGCAAGCTAATCTGTTTCCATCATATGCTCGTTCTATAAGGTAATTAGTTAGTTTCATACAACTTACCCATGTTCTAATTTTTTCAGTACTGTTGACCGCAGATGACATGTCTTTCGGTTTCGCTCCTTTCAGATCATGCTTTTCAACATTTGCTAATTAAACAAGTTCTTATCTTTGATATTCTTGACTATATATTTGTTGATTACTAAGACTGTATCACTTACCATATCTGTTCATAGAATATTGAGACGCTACTTTGTTAAGTATTGAGACTCACTCTACTCATTCCTTCTTTTATAGTCTTTAAATAAAATACTTTCAAAGGATTAAATAATTATAGACTATAAGTTAAAACTTTAATTTATATTCCGATCAATCAATAGATTAAAATCTTATCTCATAGGTTAATAAGAATTATTACATTAATAAGATTTTAATACTATATATAAAACACATTGATACCTGCGATCTTTTTTGCCTTTTTAACATGCGAAGGGGTTTTGGGGTTTTGGGG